AACTGGAACTCATCACTGAGACTCTGTATCCAGTGACGCCAGTGCCATAATCGCAGCAAACGTCAAGGGTGCCATGCGTGATCCCTGCGCTGTTCGAGTGAACAGGTAGAATTTTCCCCGCAGCTTTGCGCAGAAGAACCTCCTCTCCTTCGGATGCAGTGGGATCAGCCAGAAGGCATCCACGATGTCAGCAATGAACATAGTGACACCTTGACCCTCTGTTGCACGGTCCATCAGCGTCAGTGCTGAGTTGACTGCATCAGTGATCCTTGGCAGGACACTCTTGTGAGTTCTCACTGATGTGAGCGAGACTCCACTTCGTCTGCAGTCCAAGATGATACGGCTCTTGCTGATGTATTGCCCCGTATCTGGATTGTACTTCAGCTTCTTGAGGCAAACCAGTTTCGACAACACGGGCTTGTCTCCGAGTTCTGCTTCCAGTTCTTCGAGGCTGTCGTATCTTGACAAGTAGCCCTTTCGATGATAACTCTCGAGTGTCTCCAGGGCCTCGCTGTCTTCTTCAACTCCGACATAGTTGTTGAAGCTGTCAAAATCTGTAGCCAGGCTTTGGACATCAAGGAGCTCGATGTCATCGTCCACTCTCGGAAAGACTCCGTCCAGACTTTCAGACTGCATATGAAGTCCAGCCGGTGCCCCGGCATACAGCCAAGAGACGGTTGCCGCCGCCGGGTCTTCCACAACCTGTGCCCAGGCTTCTAACAGATAAGCACGAATGACTGTCGTGCAATTGTTGCTGTCGACCGGGTCGATTGACAGGTCTGATGGCAATCCACCAGATGAGTTCCTAATCAACATCTCTTTGATGTCTTGCCTCATCAGTGATACTGCTTGTTCAGGAATGATCACGTCCTCCTGGCTTTGATGCCGTGCGATGTTCTGCCATAGCTGGTCTTCAGCGTCTTGGTCGCCATCGAGGTGCTTCTCGATGATGTTGCGTACTTGCACGCCAATGTACTTCATTCTGTCCGTGATCCACAACTGAACATTCCTCAAGCTATTTCGAACATCATCTTGCTTCCTATGCTGTTCTGCTTGCCCAGACAGTTTCATTGCCTTCTGCGGTTTTGGGTCCCAGTCTGTCGCCGATGCCGGTCGTTTGTTATCCATATTGTCCGCAGGATGTTTGTTCTTGTCTTTCATCTTGCTGACTGCACCAGCTAGCGCTGCAGCCAAGGCTTCATTGAGCTTCTTAGGGTACGCAGCTGCCTGTCTTGTCAGGTACTCTCCTTGTGGTTCTCTGGCTCGTAGCATTGCAGGTCTCCATTGCTCCGCCGGGATTGCCCTCTGTTTGCCTTTCAACGGAGGGTGCGCAGCATAGATCCACCTTCCGTTCCACGGAATTCTCCACCACCTGCTTGGGTGATTGCACAACACTGTGAACTCAGACAAACCTTCAACGTTGCTCAACAAATCTGTCAGCTTCTCTGAAGGTGCCCCAAACCTGCATTGTGCAAATGTGTACCTGAGCACTCCATCCATTGCAATCAACGTTTTGTACTCGTCCAGCTTGAACATGGAAGTCTTTTCCTTCCTCTCATGCGGCTGTTCGAGCAGCCACGGCTTTCTGCTCCTATGCGCATGCAAAGCCGTTCGGTGAGCTCTGAGCGCGAGGATGTTACCCTCTCTTGCCTTCTGCTTGTCTTCGGCCGCTGAGTCCGTAAACCTCCGGACCTTTTGTCGACCTCAGCGGCTGCGGTCCTCCCATGCCTTGCCTTGCCGGTGAAAAGGTGCTGCAAGGCGGTGAAATCATGTAGCCATCGTACATAGACAACTTCGATTCAATTCTCTCCCAGACGTCTTGATCCAGGAGATCATGCAGCTCATTGATCTCTCTGTCCACATAGGCCGCTTCAATGCCACGATCTTTGAGGTATCTGCCAAGACCGTCTGAAGGCCGGTGTGGTCCACTGTAAAGATACAACACTTTGCCATCAACCAGTCTGTGTTCTGTATCTGACTTGCGACTGAATTCTGCGCCGGGTCAAGCTTATCAGATTTCTCCAAATCTCGACCCTCATGCATTTCGGAAGCTCCGTGTGAGTAGGGTGGCCTTCTGCCACCTTTACCCTTCTTGCCTCCGCCCTTCTTGCCTTTTCCTTTCGATGATCTCTTCAGGAATCCTGGTTCAGGCATCTCAGCATGCGGACACTTCGAAGCTGAGTGAGACCCCAAACATCGCTCACACTGATGAACTGAGTCCCATGCATGTTGGCACCAGATCCCTTGCGTCATCTCGGTGCATGTGCCCTTGTTGAAGTCCGCACACAACTTGTGGCCCGTCCTGTTTGTGAGGTATTTACCATCTGCCACATTGTTGAACCTGCCAGTTCGACTGCCCCTTCTGACCCTCGGCTCAGGTCCTGCTGAGGGTGGCTCTGGTGAGGCTGGAGAGGACGAGGTTGCACCGGCTCCCATTCTCCACGGAGCTGGTGTTGTCTCTCTCGGATGCAGTCCCGGCGGTGAAGTTCTTGCATCTCCTTCAACTGCCTCTGCAGTGTTGGTGATCCTTGTCAAGATCAGGAAGGAGGTCTCCACAACTTCTTCTCGCCAGAACTCTAGGTCCTCAACCGCCTTCGCCCAGACATAGCTCCATGGCCTCAATGGTTCATACCCCACAGGTGTGGGGTTGCCTGACGCCTTTGTCTGGTCATACTCCGCTTGTGCAATCCTCTTGAGCCTGGGCATGTGCTCCAACCTGCATCTCACTTCACCTTGGTATATGACACTCCAAACCTTCTCACCATACTTGTCATGCAAGCGTTCGATGAGTGACTTGTATCGTAGGAGATTTCCAAGGTCTACAGCATCCAGCATCACTAGGACATTTTGCAATACTGTGTAAGATGCAATCCAGTGATATATATTGGCAGGGCCATGAAACTCCTGGCTCTTAACAGATCCATCACGCCCCAGCATCACGCCTGAGAGCTTGACCTTCTTCATGATGCGCATACCATAGGGGCCGAAGATGGCAAAATCAACGTACGGCACGCTGCCCTGGTCCAGCAGATGCCGAACTGCAGTTATCTGTTCTGTAGTTGGCTCACTCTCCTTTGGGGGGCGTTCGCCCTTTCCGTAGACGACCTCATATCTTGCAAAGGCCTTCAGGATTTCTTTCTCTTCGTCCAACAAGATCTCTGCGTCGTCGATCTGTGAGATCACACTGCTGAGCTTTATCTCCCTCCCAGCAGCAGCAGTGCTCGGTCTTGTTGGTCCTGGTGAAGCCGATGTCATGGCCGATGCCTTCCTTTTGAGGTCCTCTATAGTTTCACCGTTGCCAGCAACGATCCTGCATACGTGGCCAATCAGTTTGGCCTGTACCAGCTCTGTCAACGTCGGCTGCCTCGTGGCACCACCAGCAGCAGGGATCTTCCATCCTTTGACTGCTGTGTCATAGTCTGCCTCCGACAAAATGCCCAGAGCTGCTGGCTTCGTGTCTGGCTTGGCTCCTAGGAGAGATGCCAGCGATCCAGCCACCGTTTTGTCGTCTACCAGATGTGTCTCATCCAATCCGGCGAAGGTGAAAACCTCACGCATGCCAAGCATCTTCTTTCGTTCTTCTTCAGTCGGTTCCATTGATGCTAACTTCAAACCCTGAAGGCAGCTGGATGCTCAGTCGTCTGGTTCCGCACGACCTGCACGCTCTTCGAATGCAGCACCAGCACGTGGTGATGATCACCACGATCAAGGCCACGAGCAGTTCAACCAAATGGCTGGAACCCACCGCGGCCGTTGCGAGGCTCCCCACCAGCTGCAGTGTATGTAGGCCGGTGGGCGCCAAACTCATGCACCCCTTCCACCACCAATGACTTGTCGGTGCAAGAAAAGTGGAAGGGTGTGGTCCTTGAGCCAAAATGTCAAGGACCACATACCTTACCCACCCTGCCACCCAAACACGACTGCATGTTCCGTACACAACTAGTAACTAGTTGTTCCTTCCAACAACCCAAACTTACCGCAACTCATACCACGTCGTATCCTTTCATATTCAGGCCCACGAAGCCTGCAGCATCGCAGCGTCATCTTCATCGCTCGAGTGTTGGTCCTTGCAAGCGTCGGACTGCACCATCTCCTGAAGGAAGAGCCCCACAGGGACACGCCCCACCACACGCGTCATTGGCTACGTGTGTCTCCGTGTGACTTCCGACGAAAGAATCAACGAAGGTTCCGCTCCCCTGGCCTGGCCCCGGACGACCACAAGCAAAGCCCACACGGCCCACGCGAACGGTGCCGCAAGTGCCATTGCGAGGTACAAGCGAGTACGGTCTTGCTAGGTCCTTGAAAAACATGAAAGCTTCGGAGCTGTTCGGTGGGTGTCTGATTTGGGGATTTGGGGTGGAGCTCGACATGTGAAGCAAGGCCACATGGACACTCTACCACTCATCAAAAGGCAGGTGAGGCAACCAACGAAGAGCGCACCCTGCATGGCCTTCGACCAAAAGCGCATGTTGCGCGCATGCCATCCCTCCTGAGACATGTGCCCAGTCACACCTATCTCTAGCAAGTGTGCGCTGTTGAACTAGCCATCAAGACAACGACTATTTTGCTCGTTTGAGCGCAACAAGTTTGAGCGCAGCATGCAGCTGCCTCACATTCCATCTTGGAAAAAGAGCCCGTAGCCGTGCTGGACGACATATGTGCCACAGCTTCTCTGTGGGCAAAATCCATTCAAAAAAGGCTGCGCCTGCAAGTACCATTCCGAGGAAAAGAGGCTCAGCTTAGTTGCTGGATGCCGCGGTTTCTCTATGACTGCCCGGCGAAATCAAAACGCCGAAGCTTTTTTGCTCAGAGAAAACCACGCGTCTACCTCTAGCATCTCGGGAAAAAAGGGAATCTTTGCTGGATGCCACAGTGGGATACCCAGCGAAGTCCAAAAGCTTTGCAGCTTGGCACAGCAAACAAACAATGCTCCTTGCTAGCTTTGAGGCAAGCAAAGCTGCCCAATCTCAATCACCAAGTTGGCCAATAGATACATATGTCATATGTAATATTACTATTATAGCTCTGCAACTCTCCAATTCTCCAACCAACATCCTTCAAGCTGCGTGAAACCAAGAACCAGCGGCGACCTAACCTGAAAAAAGCAAAGCGGCACGCTTTGCCTCCGCCTCACCTCCACCATGGCAAACATCGAAGACGCAGTCGGCAAAGACGTCCTGGTTGAGGATGTTCTTCAAGTACTTGGCGCAAGTCTTTGTGGCTGCCCGAATCTCAGATTCAGTGCAGTCTTTGCGTAGCACCAGGGAAGCCTCAGCCTGCTCCTGCTGTTTCTTCTTCAAATATTCCGCTGCAGCCGCACTGCCACCCAAGCTGGACCAAGATGCGGATGCCTGAAACAGAGTGAGAAAACTAGAGGCGGGGCCTACATCCGGGTGTTGTATTCCTTTGGGTGGTGCTGAAGACGAAACATGGTAGACACCCAGCCTCAAACTCGAGATCGCTTCGCATCTGCATCTGGCTACTTTTGGAGTAGAAGAGGGAGGACGTGTTCCAGACTTGTGGGTCAACTCCAAGTTCACCATTCACGTAGTCAATGTCTTCCTTCTTGAACATGGTGAGCTTGAAGTCCAAATGATCACCGGGGGTGCAGTGGGACAGGAGACGCGCAACCTTGTGCTGGCCTTGGGGAACTTCCATGCTGAGATTGATTTCGGATCCCATCACCACAAGGTCCGGACTGGTCAGGTTAGTTGTTTGCACCTTCCAAGAGAGCTCCTGTGCGCCAGACTTGACCGCATGCCACTTCCCGCCTTCCTGGCTGCGCCATTGACAATCCTCCGCGGTCATTTCCATGCGACGTCCAAGACTCTTGTCCAACAGCAAGAGCCCTTGGGTCGTAAATGTTGAACCTTGGCATTGCGGTTTGCGAGAGGTACCCTACTTGCATCAAAGCTAATGATGTGAGCGTCTGCCAAAACGCCTTGTAACGAAGATGACATGATTCAACGAGGGCCTATCGCTTTTGACGTGGGCCTATCGCTTTTTTCAGGTCCCACACATTCAACAAAGTTGAACATATCCAGAAACTGCGGCGGCATGTTTATCGCCTTTGAGGTGGGCCTATCCACCGCTCTGCATGAAACTGTTCGCACGTGTTGGGGGTTGCTCATGTGGTACAATAGTCCAGCAACACCATGATATGGGGCCACTTCTGCAACCCAGCCTGCGTAGTGGGCATAGAGCTGCCACTCGACGGGCGCTTTGGAAAAGCTCCACGCCAGGAAGGTGCCTTCCTTCAAGAGGCTATAGTGAGCACCGCGCAGCGATTGGATGTGGGGATCCCCCGAGCTGCCTCCGCTCGCATCTTTGCAATAGCAAAACCGCCTCTTCCTCGGACCGCCGCCACACCGCCACACGGCCACACGCGAGGGGAACGGTCGGCGACCGGGGTGGCGAAACAAAGAAAGTGGTGTGAAACAACGCTGCAAATCCAAGCAGCGAATAGAAAGTTGCGCCACACGTCGTTTTACCAGCTTGTCCGCTGTACCTGTAGCACTGGCTGTTGGAGGCCAAGACCCCTGGAGCACCATCATCGCTGTTAGGAGACATCGTCTCTCGGCAAGTGTAGCCACCGAGCAGTCTGGCGCCGTATCGGATTTGTCTATCTTGGAACGGTGGTGGCTTGGAAAAAGGAAGACCAAATGAACAGAAAGGATCCGTGTTAATTTGTTGTTCCCCCCAAAGATGCAACCAATCAGGGTCTACCACATTGCACGAAACAGAGCAAAAATATTGCAAAGCAAAGCCAAGCTGGCCAGTCAGTTGTTCTTGCTTCGAGGTATCGCAAAGCCCTGTTCCACACACGTCATCACAGCTACCTCCTGGCAATCAAAACCACACACACATGTTCTTGACGATCGCTGAATCCATCTTCACCTGCTCCCCCTAAGGCAACAAGCAGCTAGTCTGCTCGTTTCGTATTCTTTGGAGGATCGGATCTCAGAAACATCTCCTGAGGGGCTCAGCTTCCACTCACCATCTGTGGATACCAGCGACTGGGCATCCACCTTCAAGCTGTGCAGAGGTGCAGAGCACAGAACACAGAACGAACACAAACCTGGAACTTGGGTGTATCCCGTTACCAGTAGCAGTGGATGATGATGATTATGATGATGATTATGATGATGATGGTGGTTAGAAAAGGCCTTTCCCAGGATTAGTGATCATCTTTTACCAACTGTTACTTGTAATGGACCACGCAGTAATGGAGCCTAATGCGGAGAGATATTCCAGGGAGCGGTAATTGTTTGTTCCGTTTGAACGCCTCTAGAAACCCAACTTAAAACCAAACGGCATCCCCCCCAACCCATGGAGTTTCCGCCAGAAATGAACGGAGAATTTAGGCTCACAAACGTAGTGACTTAGGGTCACAGTCCCAAAGGTGGTACTCGAAGCTTAGGCACACTTTTAGTTCACGCTTAAATGAGATCAAGTAGATCAAATGAACACAAACGGCTGCAGTGAAACATACATCTATACAAAGCTATGGCATGTACATGTAACTGGTGCTACATCTGATCACGCCTCCTGAGTTTAACTTCTGAGAGACGTTAAACGAATCAGGATTAGCACGCTTCATTGATGTGCTGAATCAGCTCGTAGCCCTTCAGTACCTCTTCAAGACCAAGATGTACCTACTCTAGCTCAAGCCGTTCACGCCCTCAAAGTCAGTTCACGCTCATCTTCCAAGTAGTGGAAGTTCATGCCTTTCATAGCTGAAATCATTTTCTCCTCGGTGACAGCTTTCGTCAGCACATCGGCCAACATTCGGTCGGCGCCTTCTTTCTTGAGACGAAACTCTTTCTTTGCTGTACGCTCTTGCACCCAGTGGTACTGAGCGTCAACATGTTTAGCTCGTCCCAAACCTCGACGGTTTCCCATGGCGATGCCAGCGGAAGCGTCCATTGTCACCTCTTTGCTGGGAAACAATCCCCAGTCTCTTGCAGTTGATGCGACTCCAAGCGTCTGACATGCTCCTGAAACAAGTCCGTAGTACTCGGATTCGCCACTGCTGAGGGAGACAACTCCTTGGCCTTTGCTGTATGTAGTGAGACAGCATTTGTTGGCCATGAGCACGCCTCCTGACACACTCTTTCGTGTCCTTATGCAACCTGCATGGTCGGCGTCTGACCACATGTTGAATGGGTTGCAGGTGCTTTGATTCGGAAATAGCTGTGCAACTCTTGGTCGATACCTGACATATCTGGCCAATCGTTTCAGCATATTCCAGTGCCTCGATGTTGGATTCTGTAGACCTTGTGCCAACGAGCGCGTTGCAGTTTGCAGATCAAGTCGATCTTGTGCCAAATACGCGGCTCTCATAGCAATAGATCTATACATTGTTGCATCTTCGGCACTCAGCGGAACTTCTTCGTGTTGGAATTCCTCCTGACTTGGCTTGGCCAAAGGTGTCTTGACCTTGCCTGGTTGACCAGTGCCTAACCACTTAATGATCAACTCTGCATGTCTTGGATCTGGTTCCCACCAAATACCTTCATTTGACCAAGCGATGATGCGATTCACCACTCTGATCTGTTGGCTTGCTTTGGTGAACCTGGTGGACCAAGAATGCATCGTCCCACAACTTGCCATTCTTTGGCTGCTGAAGTGTGGAACCATTTGATGTCTTCAAAACTTCCAACTGTCGTGAAATCGTCTCCATGCACTTCTGTTCGAAGTTCTCTGGATGCATGGTAGTAAATACATGGATTTGACTTTCCTTGTAAAAATCCTAGCTTCTTCATGAACTCTGCGATGGTCAGTTCCCAGTTCATGGGTGCGTCTCTGGTGCCATACAGGCTCCTGACCAATCTGCCTACCACATCTCCATCTTCTGGCTTCTTGCCCTCGGATGGAATCTCAACATAGAGTTCTCTTGTTGCCTTGCAGTAGAAATGAGCTCTCTTCACATCTAGAAATCCTAGAAAAGATTGCTTTGTCTTTCTTTTCTCGCCTTTCTCCAATGGAAGGCTGTCGCTGACTGCAATGGTTAGCAGTAGCTTCAAGCTGCTAGGCTCGGCATGGCTGCGAAAAATTCGTCAAAACCTGAGCCTCTTTTGATTTCTTGTGCCACCAATCGACTTCTATAGAGAGGATTGGTTTCATCTTGCTTGTTCACATCTACCCATCGAGTTCCAATGATTTTGGTTCCTTTTAGAACTTTGCTTCTTGGGATCTTTTCCCAAACTCCCATGGATTCGGCAATGTCGATCTCATCTTTCCTGGCTTTCTCTACCTTCTCAAGTAGAAGCTCTTTTCCACTGATGTCATCATAGTACCACCAGTCTTTTGCCTCTTCTGCCATTTCTTCTGGCAGTGGGATCTTCTCTTCACACACTGGTTTCTCTGGGTCGATGCTAGATAGCACTCTCTCTCTCTCTCTCTCTATCTTCTAGGATTAGGCTTTCTAGAGCCATCTCGATGCTCTGGATGTCTCTTGCTCTCTCGGCTTCATCTTCACGTTCGCCTTCTGCCTTTCTCTTCTTGTCTCTATCTACTCTGGCTTTTGCTGTGGGTGATCCTGCTGGTTCATGTTGTTCTTCATGTTCTCTCTTTTCTCCATGTGGTTCAGGTTCGCGTGGTCTGCGAATACCTGATGCTGACGCTGACGCTGTGCCTGGTGTTGGTGGTGCTGCTTCTGGTTCGTACCACAGTTCGGTCACGATGTCCATCTTGTGAGGTAATGCTCCATTGAGTATCTCTGGTGGAAGGTCTGTTGCCATGACTCCACTCTCAATGATTTGCGTTGTTTGCATGGTTTCTTGTGACTCGGTGCCAGACGGTAGACCAATCAGGTCCTCCTGGCATTGTGGCTTGAAAACAATGAGCGTCGACGTCAAGTCGTGCGAACACTCGACATGAATCGGGGACTCCCGATGGTCTTTTGCTTTCATAACCATGAAGGACATGCCAGTGACTGCCTCTCCTACTCTGCTTTCGTGTCTTGCTACTCTTGGATTCTCTTCTTCTTCTCCTCTGATGTGCTCTTCTAGTCTGTCTCGACACCTGTTGGTGTGCTGGATGCCTGAAGTTCTTTGCCAATCTGTGTGGCATCACAAGCTGGGCAACCTGCAGTGTACCCAAACTTCTCCAGGTCTTTCTTGGTGATGTAAAGCCTTCTCAGCTTCCTTTTCTTGTCATCAATTGCCGGTGGTTGGACTAAAGCCTCACCACTTGGACTGGCAATGATTGGCTTCCTTGGGGCTGCAATCGCTGGTTCTTCACGAGTTGCTTGAGGATCCCAGGGAATCCCAGTGATCGACTTCAGCAACTCTGAATCATATCGATCTTCTTCAGGCTTTCTTCGAATGGACTGGAGTTTCCTACTATCTTCTCTGTGGTGGTGTCTTTCACTCCTAGAAAAATTCCCTTAGTCCATTGGGCCTCAAACTTGTGACCGCTCTTGAGGTATTCGATGGCCTCACCGAAAGGTGGAATTGCTACTTTCCATTCGCGTCCACGAAGTCTTGAGTATGGCGTCTTTCCATCTTGGAGTTCGGTGGATCGGGAAAACAAGTTGTAGACTGTGGATGCATGTTCAACTAACCAAGTCAAAATAGGTGAATTGTCAGGAAGTTTCTCACCATGGTTCGACTCGACTGCGGCTCGAAGAGTCTTGGCTTGTCCTTCCAAGGTTTGAACTGCTCGTTCAATCTCTCCCATGGATTCTTTGACTCCTTTCGGGCTCTTCTCGATGATTAAGGTTCCTTCAAAACCATTCTTTACTGCCTCAACGACGGAAGTGAGAGCAGGTTCGGGATCATGTCGAATGACCAGTTTGGAATATCCTAGTTTCTTGATGTCGTTCAGGAGTCCCTTGGATCCATATTGGGCCTTTTGTCACACCTTTGTAGGGTAACACGTGGGCAAAAAGATGTTTCGTCCATCGATCTCTGACAACAAGAATTGGTGCATGTGTCTTCTCATCCAAAACTACATCATCAGTTCGTGAATTCATGAAACAGACAGTTACTACTGGTGTGGTCTCGTCTGAATGGTCCACTCTCGTGTGTGGATTTGCTTTGGCCTTTCCTCTAACACAGGCCTCACACCAAGAACGAAAAGGAAAATGTGTACAACGTGTTCCTCGAGCTCTTTTCGCGTTGGGCGAACTGGAGCGTTGATCTTGAGCTCAGATGGAATTTCATCACCTGGCTCGGCCTCAGCGGCTTCAAAATCTGCCGGGGCCTCTTCGTCCATCACCGGACTTACCCACATCGGCGCCGGGTGAAATGGTGGAACATGATCGGCACGGAGTAAACTCCGTTGCAAAAGGAAAGTGGGATCTTCTTCCCGTCTCGTGCAATGTGTCCTCCAGCCTTGCTCATCCTGATGGACCAGCCCTTGTCTGCGAGGGCTCCTGCAGAAAGTAATGGCTTGGAGACTGCCATCACTCGAAAGCTGCACTGTCCCGTCAGGGCTCCATTGCCGATGCCAATCGTCACCTTGGCATTGATCTTGCCAAGATCCTTCACCGTCTCGCCTGAGGCGGTCTTGTAGACCTTTGAGCTCGCGCCATCAGGCTGAGTAGGCTTGTAGCCCAATGCTGCGGCGAGGTCGACAGGAATTCAGGAGGTGGCAGCTCCTGAATCCAAAGTCACCTGATGAGCCATTGGAGCCTCAATGGATGCCAGCTCCAAACTCTTGAGAGCCAGTGGATCTTCATCACCTTCCTCAGGCTCACTTGAAGGTGTTGGATACCGCGTTCCCTTTCCTTTCTGGGTCTCGCGAGCGGCATCTTTTGTGGCCACGTTGACAGCTCGAGTCAACTGCACCTTCTTCTGTTTGCCTTTCTCCTGGCCCTTCTTGCGGCCTTTCTCGGAGGCAGCCGGAGCCGAAGCGGCTCGGTCTTGCCCGGGGATCGAGACCGGGATTTCAGTCGAAGCGTCTGCCTTGGTGCTTCGCTGGATTCCTCCTGCTTGGGTCCTGGTCCACGGAATCGCTCCATGCGCTCTTCAGTCGAGCTCCTGAACCAGGCCATGCGCTCCTCCTTGGTCTTGCCCTTCTTCT